CATAGCAGATACTGTAATTTTAGGAAGTCGCAATTTGTGACTATTGTGTGTACAAATTACAATCTATGAAACGTACTCGTGTATTTAGTGAAAAATTTGTGGTTAACATTGTTCATCAATTTTTTATTGGATGGCTTACTGTTTTCCATCAACGTTCATGTTTCCCATATTCCCCTCGAAGTCGTGCATTTTCCGATCTTCCAAGGCCAAACCCATTGTGAGTAATTCAATATTCCAATTTGGTACCTTTCGGGCTGTCAGGTTCCAAGATGGGACACTAAATTATGCAAGTGTAAACTGCTAGGATGAGGACTTATCAGATTGAACGTTCTGTTCTGTATAAAGACAAGCACCAAATTACCAGCTATCACATCTATCTCCGTAGGTTCCGTCTTTTGCTTCCATGCTTCCTATCTTTTATCTTTTCTAAATATGAAACCATGTGTTTCTATTCAAATAATATTTTATGTTTCAAGTTGAACTTAGAAGTTGTCTGGTTTGTATCTTAGATTTTCCTGATTATCTAAAGAATGCATTTGTATAGTGTAATATGCTTATAAAATCAATAACGGGAGAGTTCATGATCTGATCTAACTGCTACTGTTTGTTATTTAACTCTGGAAACAGAATGATAGGGTGAGACTTTCATGTAATAATCTTCCTCTTCTTTGTATGCTAAGGTGAAACAGGAGCCATGGCCAGATAGCCCACTTCGATTTTTATGTCTGATGAGCCAGTCTCCCTCCCCCTCTCTCCCAAAGATGCTACCTCTGCAAAAAGGCCAAAGGGCTTTAAACTTTTCATCTTCATGCTTTACTCCCTTCCTTTTTAGCCTCATTTCTGCAATCTGTACTCGAATTCCCCTTCTATGTTTTGCCTGATTGCATCCTCTTTACCTAATTCAGAATCATTACCTTTTTGAAGATTATGGCCTTTGCCTCGAGAGCCCACATTCAAGTACTACTAGTACTTGTATTATACAATATATAATTTGAAATATACGCAGGAGAACCAAGAATGTCCAAGCTAACTTATTGGCAAGTGGCTAGGGATAAAGAAGCTTTTTACATTTTCATGCGCAGCTAACTTCCTGGCATTGGAAGTTGTAAAGAAACGTGAAATGAAGTCCTGCAAACAAGAAAAAAAAGAAGAAAAAAAAAAGACTAATACATAGCTAGTTAGGAAAAAAGCTGGTTTTTTTCCACATTGTGTCAACATAATTATTCATAGGATTATTAAGACCTAAATTAGTGAAGCTCTGTGTTTAGCCACGATTATGCTATTCTTAGTTGCTTAATCAAATTATTAATCTATTTTGTTTTTTAATGAAAATGATTAACATTTGTTTTGTATTTTGATGTTGTAATTAGAGGTATTTTTAAATTGGATTAGATTCAAATTTGATTTGTACATGATATTAATATTTTATATACTTGAGCTTAATTTAATCCAATAATTTGGGTTTCAAATTTTATTTAAATCAATTAAGATAATTAAAAAAAATAAAGCATAGTTTTTTATTTAATTTTTAATTTTTATTAAATTTCAAAACATAAAAAATTTAATATATTTTTAATATTTATATAATAATTATATATATTTATCTTTTCTATAGTATAAATATAGTGTTAGATTTCCTGCAGCTTTAGGGAGCCAAAAATACCTGCCGATATTCCAAACAGAGTGTTAGTTCCTGTGATGTTCGGATGGAATTAAATTTTAAAACGATTTTATCTTTTGGTTGGTGGGGACTTAGCAAAGAGAAATTATAATACATTGATAGTAAAATTTTTAATTTCACAAATAAAATTAATCAAGTAATACATGTTCTTTATATATTTTAAAAAATTAATTAAAAATATAGTATATATATTTTCATCTAAACCCTGTAGTCATGCGTCTAAAGCCTTCGATAAGCCGTCGTGACACCATTACTATTCATAACTTTCAGCGGCCCACTTATTTTTTTGGCCACTGCCCCTACTTTCATTCCTTTATTGTTTGTTCTTCGCTTGTTCCCCTTTGTAATTCGGCAATTGTAAAACGCAAAGCATGAATTAGTTCAAAATTTGGTCTGCCCATTGCAATTCAGCACATTGCGATGCTATCCACATTCAAAATTCATTAGACATACGCTGAAATATTTGGTTAAATTGATTAATACAGATACCTTATGTTCTAAAATCATTCCATTTACACCAAAATATTTGATTATACAGATATCTTTAGACATGCACTTGAATATTTTATAAAAATGATTGTTACAAATATTGTATATCTAAAGAGTCGAATTTGATTTAAAAAAAAAAAAAAACCAACTTAAATGCCTTGAATTGGGCATGAAAATTAATCTACACATATGTTAAAAAAACCATAATTTAACTGCGAATCAGGGGTTTATTGACAAAAGCTTTCTTGTCGTGTCATTTAACTTGCTGCTGCTTTTTCTAACTTTGATAAGTGTAGAAGCTTATTATAGTTTTTCAGTGATAACCAACATCGGTTCCATTTTTTTCCCAATAGGAAGCTCCAAAGGATGTCATATCACTAGGTTAAAAAAAATATGTATCATATTTCTCCTTGTTAGCTTGCGTGGACAATTTTACTTTATCAGCAACTCACTGAACCTTCGTTTCTTTCTTTCAGTACTCACATTTTGATTGAGTTTTTTTTTTTTACTGATTATAATCAAGTTAGCCGATACGATGCAAGTATTTAACATTTGAATGTAAAGCATTTAGATTTATTATATATATATATTCAAAATTTTAATAACTTTTTATTGGTAAATGATTTATAAATTTGAGTTTTTTTTTAATTAAAAAATTCATAAATTTTCTTATAAATTGAAGATTTATTTTAATTTTAAAAATAGAATAATTTCTCTTATTTTAAAAATTTTTGACCAAAAAAAAAAGTGAAAACATCGTAACATCAGAGAATCTAAGAACACACAATGTCTCCAAAAAAAAAATTCGATATCTTTAACTCGATTTTCTTCTCAATTAATCCATTATTTCAATTTTTCGTTCATGATTTTATTAATTTTGTTCTTTGATAATATAATTATCATCAATATTTTTGAAATTGATCATAGGATGCAGTGATAGTTGACATCATGGAATCACAAACACCGCCACGTGTCTTTGGGGGGTAGGAATCAGGAGAAGGGAAGGGTAGGTGAGGTTTCCCTTGCTCTCCTCCCCTTGCTCTGAAAAAAGTGTAAATTTCTAAACCGCCAAATAAAAGGGAGGCAGTTCTATTTTTTTGAATTGGTGAGGGGTCTTTTTGTAATTGCACGAATTTATCATTCTTTCACTTTTATTTCAATTTTGAGAAAACTATTCCTTCTTACTCCAGTTAGGTCATCCTTTCAAGTTTCAAGCTTTGGCTTGGCTGAGCGTTTAGGTAAATTTATTTTTTCTTTTAATTTGTTTGGTGTGGGGGTAATTTGGATTTTTCAAATATGTATAATACTCATACTTATTAATTATTGAAACATAAATTTTACATTAAAAATGAGATATTTTGAGTTGAAAATTAATAGCTATACTCTCAATCTCTCACTATATTTTTATTATAAATTTAAAATCTCAACTTATCAAAAGATGATTATATAATATATCTGAAATAAAATTTTAAAAAACACATAATTTTGTGCCCATCAGATAAAATAAATATTAAATATTAAAAAAATGTTATATATAAATTTAAAAGTGGTAATCAGGTAATTTTTTTAAAGTAAGGGGCGTCTTATTTATTTTCTTTCAATTCAAACCAGACTTATGTCTGTTTTTGTAACCACCATGTGTCCAATTTCGATGAATAAAGGATCTAACTCAATTTAATCAAATCAAGTTGTGTTTCATGTAAACAACGTTTTAGGTTTACCTGAAAAAATGTAGATGTGGTGATTCGAAACATAGACATTGTAACACAATACAGAAATAATATAACTAAAAAATATGAATAATACGATTTAAAATTTTTAAAAAACTAAAAATAGATTTAATGAAATAAAAAATTATATTTTATATTTTTATATTGATACGAATTGTGATAAGCGATTTGCATGTAAAACATAATATGAATATAATATTCTATATGACACGATGACACGAATTGTCAGATCAAAAAATGAATAAAAAAAAAGTGTTCAAATGTAAGGTAAGAAATATAATTTATAAATTTTAAGTATTTAATATTATTGTGCAAAATATTTTAACAAATTAAATATTAAAAAATTCATAAAGTAAAAAAAAAATAGAGATATAACAATAACAAAATCATTTTACATACAAAAATTACGTTTGAACTCAAAAACACTTTTTAGAGCTTTTTTATTTAAGTTTGTAAACCAAAATTTTAAATAAAAAAATCATATTTTTATTATTTAATATTAGATTGGATCAAAAGTAATTTTTGAAAAAAAAATTAATTTCAATCTTAATGATAAACTAACCCTTAATCTAACATTTTAGACAGGATGGTGGATGAGTCCAATGTTCATAGATAATTTTTACACCATTAAGATTCTCCGTGCAGCTTACATTAAGATTCCAATGAAAATTAAAGAAAATTATATGATTATTTTATTTTACACTTTTGCCAACACAAGCTTTTGTACCCAAGAATGAAACCCAAATTACATTTTTTTTTTCACATGCTCACTACTTATATATCTTTAACACAAATATTTTGTGCATTGCAGTTTTTTTTTCTTTTGGGTGAAAATCTACAAAATCAATTTTTTTTTAGGAAATCATTAATCTTTTTTGCTAAAAAATAGAAAAAAAAATAGATCTTAAATTCTTTTAGGAAAAAAATTTATGCAGAAAAAACCTTACCCGATCAATGTGCATTTACATGTCAAATGTAGCAAAAAGGCAAGGCTGACTTATTCAGCTCGGCTCGACTTCTACAGCCGCCTATAATTTTCATTACAACCCACGGTGTAAGTGGCGATTGGTCAGTGAGGAAAGGAAGGGATCCCGATCTTCCGTTTAGCAGTTTGTTTGGCGCCGTAACTGAACAATGACAGCAAAACTATTTATTTCACAAAATACCCCAACATGGAACAAATTCCCAAAACACCCCTAGTTCCCAACTACCACCAAAAGCCACGTCCCTTCCAGACACCAGTCTCATGCCACCTTATTTTTTTCATCTTCGTCGTCCCTTGCGCGAAACATGAACCCCAAAGAAATCACAACCAAAGTTCCTCCCCCCCTTTACTTATAAAAACCTTCCTTGATCATCGTCTTTATCTCCAGGTGCCTACCTGTCTCAAAAAAAAAAAAATTTGTTAACCAAAATGGCTCTTACCAACTCCTCTATTCTCCCTACAAAATCCCTCCTTCAATCTCAACCATCAACGCCTTTCTCTAAGACCAAACCATTGTCTGTTGTTCGAATCTCCGCCGTCCATTCAACTGACTCACCTAAGAACCCCATCGTCTCCGATAAGTCCGTCAAACAGCCAGCAAGTATTCCACTTGCCGCTACGCCCAAATCTGCTACTGTTGCTGCACCTGTCACTGCTTCACCGCAGAATGCGGTTCCCGGGAAATGGACTGTTGATAGCTGGAAGTCAAAGAAAGTTTTGCAGTTGCCGGAATATCCGGATCAAGTGGAGCTTGAGTCGGTGCTACGGACTCTCGATGCTTTCCCTCCAATTGTCTTTGCTGGTGAGGCTCGGAGTCTCGAGGAGAAGCTCGGGGAAGCCGCTACGGGAAACGCTTTCCTGTTGCAAGGCGGAGATTGTGCTGAGAGTTTCAAGGAGTTTAACGCTAATAACATTCGTGATACTTTCAGGATCATTCTTCAGATGGGTGCCGTTTTGATGTTCGGTGGTCAGATGCCCGTTATCAAGGTCAAAACTCAAAACTTTACCTAACGATTTAACATTTTTTTTAATTTTGTTTTTCTTACGGGTTTGCTTATGTTTCTGTTTTTCTTCTTCTTTTTTGTTTTTTAGGTGGGAAGGATGGCAGGGCAGTTTGCGAAGCCAAGGTCGGAGCCTTTCGAGGAAAAGAATGGAGTGAAGCTACCCAGTTACAGAGGAGATAATGTCAACGGGGATGCTTTTGATGAGAAGTCTAGGATTCCTGATCCTCAAAGAATGATTAGAGCTTACACTCAATCTGCAGCTACTTTGAATCTGTTGAGAGCTTTTGCTACGGGAGGTTATGCTGCTATGCAAAGGGTTACTCAATGGAATTTGGATTTCACCGAACACAACGAGCAGGGAGATAGGTAAAAAATTTCGATTTCGGCTTATTTGGCTTTACTTTTATATTTTTGGTATGGTTTGATTCAATCTTAAATTTCTTGTTTGTTAATATTTTCGTGGAATTTTCTGATTGATAATAAGTTGGTTTAATAGGGAAGTGATGTTTGGTCGTTTTCGCTTGTTTTGTCACGTTTTTGTGCTTTAACTGTAGTTTGAATGCCAGCTTTGATGAGTAGATAATTGAAGTTTGTATTTTACATGTGCCGTTTTTGTCGAGGTGACAGTAAGTTTTATTGTTGTCAGAAGCTTTATTTGTGGAAGTTGAAAATTTTATTTCAATGTTTTTTTGATTGTTTATTTAAGAATCAAGAAGTTTTGAACTTGGATTTTTATTAGTTGTTTTATATTTGATCTATTTTTAGCATGTGCATAACTAATAGATTCTAAACTCTTAGTAACTCCGACATCGACACGTGGGTTTTCCTCTCGCAATTATGTTTTGCTTCATTTGTTTCTCTTTTCAGGGCCGGGTTTTTTTTGTCTACTGTTGTTCTATACTTTTTTTATGGTATGAAAAACAAATCATAACTTTCGAAGAGGTTAGGATTTTCAAATTTATTTACCCTTTCCGGTTTGTGGCAGGTACCGAGAACTAGCTCATCGTGTTGATGAGGCCCTTGGGTTCATGGCTTCAGCAGGACTTACAGCTGGCCATCCTATCATGACAACAACTGAGTTCTGGACATCCCATGAGTGCTTACTCTTGCCATACGAACAGTCACTCACCAGGCTAGATTCTACTTCAGGTCGCTATTATGATTGTTCTGCCCATTTCCTATGGGTTGGGGAACGTACTAGACAGTTGGATGGTGCTCACGTCGAGTTTCTGAGAGGAGTTGCTAATCCTCTTGGAATTAAGGTAATTACATCTAAGCCTACTCTTTTAAACACAAGGTGCATGAAAGTTCCGATCTAAATGGTCCGAATGTTGGAGTAGGTGTTATGTTGTCAAATTACATTTCTTATGTTTTCTTGTTAATTATGTTTCTTTAAATATCTAGTTACATAACTACATAATTCTTGTCTAAGAATGAATCGGGTTTTGAAATATGGATCTTATACAACTAAATTTGGTAATAAGCTGAAATATTTGTAAGGCGAGCCCTATTTTGACAACCGTCCAGTTTTTTGGACTAATTATGAGTTTTGATCATAAACCGGTGAGAGCAAGATGACTAACAAAGAGGCTCATCTGCTGCAGGTGAGTGATAAGATGGATCCAAATGAGCTAGTTAAGCTGATCAAAATTCTGAATCCTCAGAACAAACCAGGAAGGATAACAGTGATCACAAGAATGGGTGCTGAGAACATGAGAGTGAAGCTTCCCCATCTAATTAGGGCAGTCCGCCGGGCTGGGCAAATTGTTACTTGGGTTAGTGATCCTATGCATGGAAACACCATAAAGGCTCCTTGTGGTCTCAAAACTCGTCCCTTCGATTCCATAAGGGTATGTTACTCATTACTTAACCTCTTACTGTGAAGGATTAGTTGCTGATAATTCATTGATGAGCATCAACTGTCATTTGGCGTATGACTCACTTACCATTTGGAATTAGGGAAACCCTGGAAATTGCAAAGTTCAAGTAAATAGTTTCTCATCATGTGAAATGGCAGACATCTTTGTGGAAAAAATGTTTCCTTGTTCTCAAAAAGAAAGGGTCATAGTAATTGAGGACTTTAATTTGTATAAATGATGTTTCCTATTATGAACATGACAAGACAGACTAACTTGTGATGGTAGAAAAAAAATGGACTGCATTTTGTTTGTCTCTTGAATCTATGCATAGTTGAAGTTTTAGCTTAAGGACCAGTTTTCTTTTCATCTTACTATAGAATCCTGTTTTAAATGAGGTTCGGCTATTAATAAGTGCTTTATGTTTAATGCAATTACTAAAACTATGGCAATAAGCATGATTATAATATTGACGGTCCACTCTTTACTCTTTAGAGCCTTTGTAGTACAAGGAAACCAAAACAACCCTTTTGGGTGGTTGCATTTTGTAGTTTCAAAGTAAAATTATTGCATTTTTCTAGGAAGAGAGTTTTAAGTCAAATATATTATGGTGGGTAATGCAATTGCCATAACTATGGCGGTTAGCATCATTTTAACATTGATGGTTCACTCTTTACAGCATTCATAATGTAAAGGAACCAAATCAATCCTTTTGGGTGGTCGCATTTTGTATCTCCAAAGTTAAATGGTTACATTTTCTAGGAGGAGAGTTTCGAAGTGAAATATATTATGGTGGGGTAGGTGGAAAGGGGCTATTTCTTAAAGTTGTTTTACCAAACTGTCAGATGAACTTACTTAAATATGATCATAATAATTTAGGTAAGAATTTGTCTTCGGTAGGTAGGTGTTCATATTTCCCTATCCTATGATTGATTCAAACACATGTTTTAATAGAAAATCTCTTTAAAGGTTAGTTCACTTTTGCTATGCCTTTATCGACTTTGGATAGCTTTTGGAAAGATTCTGTTGTTTTGTTCCTTCTTTTATATGGCTGCCAAATATTTTGATGGAAATTTAATAGTTTCACATAAAATGTAATGATGTTATAGTTATATGTTAATATCATTGTTAACATATTTATTTGTTTATTTTTAAATGTCTGATCAATTTACATTATTTTTGGCAGGCTGAAGTGAGAGCTTTCTTTGACGTGCACGAGCAAGAGGGAAGTCATCCTGGAGGAGTTCATCTGGAGATGACTGGCCAGAACGTGACAGAGTGCATTGGTGGATCCCGGACTGTTACATTTGATGACTTGAGTTCACGCTACCATACCCACTGTGACCCTCGGCTCAATGCTTCTCAATCTCTTGAGCTTGCCTTCATCATCGCAGAGCGCCTTAGAAAGAGGAGGATCAACTCACAGCAACCTCTGGTCACAAGGCTGTAGAGTGGCCCTCAAGGAATCCAGCCACCAGCCCACCAATATATTTGTTCTTTTTTTTTATTTATTTTTTCTCTTATGTTGTTAGTGGCACCTCATTAATGTTTTACTTTTGGGATTCTTGAACTAAATTATGTCGTTTGTATGTGAATACTTGGAGAAAAAGTGACGCTTTTGAGATGAATAAAAAATTAAGCTATGAATGAATTCTAAAATTGCTTGGAAGACTCCATTTTAAGATTGTTGTGGTCATACAGATATAGATGACAAGAATTGAAGCTTTCAAGTGAAAGAAGAAAGGGTATATAGTAACATGCCTAGCCAAGCCTGATTCAAACACCATCTCTTGCTTTGGCGAAACCCAAATACCAACTTAGCACGTACAAACTTTCCAGAGAAAATACGCGGTTTGTGGGATGCCATTTTTAAGTAGTGAATTTTATATTTTCCTATTGCTTGTTTTCTTTATAATATTAATTTATTAATTTTAAAATATTTTTGAATTAAATACGAGCAACCCTCCTCTATAATAGACATTTTGAACTCCACGGACGAATATTAAATAATTTTCTAACTAAGATTATGTGTTTAGTGAGCAGATTTGAGCCTCTTTAAAAAGGACATTTGCTCCACGTTATGCTCCAGGAAAGGACAAAACATGGGCGTGGCTTAGCATAAAGGTGAGTCTTAAATTATAAAAAATTTTAATGTTTGAATTAAATAATCCAGTAAATTCATCAGCAATGTTAAAGATTGGGGTTTTTTTTTTTTTTTTTTTTTTTTTTTTTTTCTTTCAACTTGCTATCATCATCTGATTGTTAGTAAGGTGAGCTGACTTGAGCAGGAACCGAAGCTTAGAAGCAGCAGAAAGCCTGGATCTTTTCTTTGCTAAACTTTCACTACGTGGTTCTCTCTGTTCCTTCAATCTCTGTGCAAGGTGCTTCTGATGCTCAGCAAGCAGCATCTGCCTTTTGCCTTTGCAATTCTCTTCTTTTTCTCAGTAATTCTTGCTGTCTTCCTCTGCAAAGTTTATGGAGTAACCAATCTCTGAATCTTGGGAGCTTTACTGGCTTTCTTTCCTGCAATACAGAAAAACCGGTATTATAAAATATGTTATGTTGCATAAGTAATAAGGAGACTGCATCAATTCAAAAACCAAATTACAGTTTAGACTGTAATTTGATTAAAGTGGTATGTCTTGTTGAATGAAGAAAATAATAATAAAAGGCTTCAATTTTAATTTCAATTGATGAAGAGATAGCTGGCTTCATCAAACTAAAATCTACAGGGCACAAATAATACTGCATTTCAGTTCAGAACATAAGGTCCCTACCAAAAAGAATAGACTACGAAGTTGTATCAAAAGGTTCGCACTGAAAATAATAATGATTATGTTTTTTTCCTGATCAGTCAAAGAGGACACCAATGAACGGACATTTTTCAATTTAAAGGACAGCAAGAAATTAATTACCCTGAACTTCAAATGATTTTTGTTTTTATCAATCACAGAACGATCAAAGAGCATAACGATGGAACGAAAGGCCTAGGCAACCATCCTTAAGAGATAGTATCCAGTAAATCTTAAATAATCTCAGTATATGTCATCCTTTCTCTTATCTTTAATTACGGATTCTTTTGCTAAAACAAAAATGCATAAGGATGATCGGAAGAAAAAAAACAAGAGAGATCAATCATGGTGCTGCACTTTAATTAAAGATCAAGAAAGCTTGTTAACAGAAAAAACAAAAACTACATTTATTTTGTGAAGTATCTAGGCCGACTAAATCATGCTCTGAATGTCAACAATTGTAAGCTCTATACAATTATTGTGCTGATTCTAACCTCCACAGCTGTACAAATCCATGATAATATTGTAATAAGTTAATAATAAAGTAATTGAAAACGGTCTCCCATCCAATGAACCAAATGGCATGACAAAGATTGAACAGAAAATTCTTCAATCATTCATTAACAAAATTCTGAGGTTGATGATTGTATAAACAATAGGTCGTGACAATGAGGTCTATTTGTACAATTTTTGTTCACAGTGGGCACACAAAATCACCACTTGTCTCTACATCTTCAAGATCTACATCGTTATCTATATCATCAAGATCCATGCTTCCTCCCATGAAAAGCCCCCCTACCTTGGGGACCTCAGCTGTTTTCATGGCCTGCTGTATTATAGACTGTACTTCTTCCATGGTTTGGGAAGGGTTATTTACATCATGGCTCTGCCAGCTTCCCCCTTCCATCAGTTCGATAGGCAAGTTCTTTAAGAACCAAGGGTGGCTTCTAATTTCTGCCATAGTCATTCTCTGCACCACCAACAAGAGATAAGGATGAATATAAACATGATATAAACAATTCAAACAAAGATGGATGATTGCCAGCAATTAACTTTCAATGCATCCGATTAACCAAAGAAGCAAATTATACCTTTTCGGGATTTGCCACAAAAATCCAAGATAAAAGATGTTTGCACTCCACTGAAACTCGGACATAATCAGGAATTGAGTAGTGGACACCGAGTATTCTCTGTCATGACCAATAATCACAGTGAGTTAGGGAAACCTCAAATAATTGCACTAATTTCAAATTATTTCTACTTTTGTCGAGAAAGTGAAGCTGTAAGATTGTACAAGTACACACCCCAATTGTCTTTCTAAAGTTTTTTGGGTCATCAGGATCTTCAAAGGGATATGCCCCAACTAGCATGACATATAAGGTGACCCCACATGACCAAACATCTGCAATCTATAGTTTGGGAGGATTAGAAGTAGATAATTGGGGAATTTTAGTTGAAGCATAAATGAAAGTAATAGAAGGGGGAATAGAAAAGGGAAGGATATTACTTTCCCATCATATTCTTTCTTAGATAGAACCTCAGGGGCAATGTAAGCTGGTGTTCCTACAGTAGATTTTGGTTGAGAATGGAACACAGATGACTACAAAATTAGGGGAAAAAATATGGTTAGTAAATAAAAATGCAGTCAAAATCAATGGTGTTTGCAAACTTGTGGATTAGTTAATGTTATTACCTTTGAATATCCAAAATCGCAAATTTTGACGCGTGGTGCTGTGCTGCCATCCAGGAGAGTATTTTCAAGCTTAAGATCTCTGTGACATATTTGCTGCAAACCAGAATTTTCAATGAACAAAAGCAGCACTTCAAGCTTATTCGAGAAGAAATAAAATTTTCTTAGAGAGGAAACTAGAAGCCGAAGTTTCATACCATGGAATGACAGTAACTGACTCCCGATATCAATTGCTGAAAGAAAAACCTAGCCTGTTGAAAATCAACATCCAAAAGGAATGTTAATATTCCAATGGAAGATTTAGAAATGAGATACTGTGAGTAAAGCATACAATTTCACGTCCAACTGTTCTCCTTTTTACCTCATCCTCACTAAATCTACCAGCATTGCATATGCGCTCAAAGAGTTCTCCCCCTGCAGCATACTCCATGACTATGGCTAGATGAGTAGGTGTAAGAAGAACCTGCAAGGGCAATGCCTCAAAGTGAACATTTTTCCCTTCGTTTATTTTTCATTATGGAAAGTTAAGCCCAATAGACTAGTGCATGCTAAGTTGTTCACTGAAAAGGAACATGATAATAAAATCATTCGCAAAGTTGCATCATCCATCCTCTTGGTACCCTGCTTCAGGGGAAAAATAATTTGCTTTACTAATACTGAAAATGAAGTTTCATTTTCATTTTGCCAGTTGAACCAAACATTAGGATTTAGGCTGGGCAATTAATGACATAATTCTAAACTCTACACCTGGTTATCAAGAAATAAAGACAAGAAAAATGTTAAAACGAAATTACACTGACATTATTGTCTCTTGACAATTATCATTGGTTCTCCATAAATGGGAAAAGAAGGAAAAACATCAGAGCCCAAACCTATCTTTAACTAACATAACGGAGCATTGACCATTGACCATTGACCATAGCTTAGCCAGACAGGAAGAAGACAATCACATGACAATAAAGGAAGATGGAATATAGAGTACCCACCTCTTTGAATCTAACAATATTGGGATGCTTCAATGATCTATGGTTCATGATTTCCCTTTGCACATGTTCATCAATCTGCAACAAAACAAAAAGAACAAAAAAGGTAATAACCCCTTTAATCAACACACCCGTGTACTAAATGATAACGGGGAAATGACAGAGAATCCAATTAGAAACAAGAAAAAGAAGAAGAAGAAAGAACAGAAGTTTGAAAGATTTAAGAGGTTAAAGGTTATGAAGATGACCTTCTGCCCTCTCTCAATGAACTTAACAGCTAAGAGCTCGTTTGTAAATTTATCTCTGACCAGCTTGGCCACACCAAAATTCCCTGACCCGATATCTTTCACGATCTCATAACGCTCCATAGTTTCAATCTCTATCACAAGAAATAGTATCCAACTTCAATCTTTGATCTCTTCTCTCTGTCTGTCTCTGAAAAAACAGTTTGTTTCAAGAGGTTTATTAGGCCAAAGTTAGTTGTGGCTTAAAAGTGACAACCATCATCGTCATCATCATCATAAAAAGTCACTGTAATTGACTGCAGTTGTAGTCAAAGATAGACAGACAGAGTGAACACGTGTATTTTGTATAGTTGGAACAGAAAAATTAGAAATGAAGTTCCCCAGTGTCGTCTGACGTATGGAAGGCACCGAATTCTTCTTCCAATAAAGGAAAAACGACTTTACTAGCGGCTACACGCCAAATATTAGGTTTTAAAATTGGCTACGCGCAAAGGTTGTTTGGTTAGACTTCATTTGGAGAGACTCGTTGCAGTGAGATTAAAAATAATAATAATTATTATTATAATTATAATTAAAAAAGTTATTACAATTATAATTAAAAAAAATTTAATGAAAATTTTATATTGAATGAGAAATTTCAATGGACACTTAAGTGGTATGAAAAAAAATATATATAATATTTGATTTAGTTTGAATTAATTGTTTTTATTCATTTAAATTAAGTTTAAATATTAAATATATATAAAATTTATATAAAATTTTAAATAAAAAATAAAAAATTAAATCAAATTAAATTATATATTTTTATTAGCTTTATGTATATTTTAAATTTTAATAAAATAAAAATAATTATTTTAAACCTTAATTTATTTAAATATATTAAAAATCATATTAAATAATATATAAAAATTAAAATTAAATTTAAAAAACTGAAAAAATAAATCAAACCAGTAAAATTTGATTCAAATAAAATCTAACCAAATAAAAATTTAAATTAAATTCGGATCAATTTTAAAAATTTATAATTTTATATATTATCTAAAAAAATTAAATCAAATCTAATCCGATTCAAACTGTTATCACTTACAAATCTTGGTACTTTGTTCCTTAAGGCCATTATGTTAACTGAATTCATTATCTATGCTAGTAAGTTTGTAATAATTTCATTATTTTACTGAATTCAGTAAAGACAGCTCTGAGTTTTACATTTCTGATAAAAACATCGAGATAATTAAAGGTGTGCTGTGGGCTGAAACTTGCTTTGTGGATTTTGAGTGCCATCAAGGAGCAATTGCGACGTGCAAAGCAATGCAGTGGTTTCAGCACACATTTTAGGTTAAGGCAGGTCAAAGCAAGGGAAACCAGCACATGATATTTAAGAAGTTCGCATTGTTACGGACAACTCACGACATCAGTTTGGCGTTTGGTGGATCAATAATCAGCCTTGTTTTGTTTCGTTGAGGTTAAGTCTCGCAGGTATTTTAAATGGCTTTTCTGATATGAGAAGAGTGAAGGAACCTCAATTAGATATGATAATGGATCGGTTCAAGATAAATTTTTATTTTTTTTTGAAATTTTTATATTTGATTTAATTCAACTTATATATAATAATAATTGAGTTGATTTGAAGTAAAATTAATAAAATATTTTTTTAAAAATATAAATATAAAATTAAGTAAATATAAAAAATATAATATTTATAAATATAAAATTAAATAAATAATTATATATATACATATCGAAACAAAACGAAAGAAAATTTATTTAAAACTTATCTCAGACTTTTTTCAAAAAAAAAAAATTGATATAACTTAAAACTTTATTTTTAAAAAATAAAAAATAATCTTATAAAATTAAATCGAATTAAAACTTTGGGTTGGATTAGCAATCCTAACTCCGATGTAAAGATTATCTTCAATATCACAGATATGTGTATTTGTGCGAGGAGTTTTTTCTTTAAAAAAAAAAATGAGGTTGTAGGATGGAGTGCAATCAATACGACGTCAATCACGACTGCAGACTTGGAAATTTGGGATATGTAGTTGGCAACTTGGCATGGATCAAGTCCAGCCAATGAGGCTATTGCCATTTCCCTATTGGCACCGGCACCGTCCAAATCCTATTCAAATTCGAGGGAATAAAACCCATGTTTGCTTGTACCGTTGCACGTTTTTTCCAACACTTTATTTCATAATCATTCAACTCTTTTCTGGTATTTCATAATTCATATACGGATAGAATAAAGTCATTTGGAATCCTAGGCATTGCCCTTTTAACTTGCCACATATTAACAGCATTAAAGGCAGATTTTAGTTTTCCTAACAACTATGGTCCTATCTATTTTATCTCTACTTTCGAAAGGAAAAAGTTAAAAAATACACAAGAATTCATCATGTTGAAATTGAAATTTAAATCAATTGATTTATATAATTATTTTTAAAAAATAATATTTAATAAATTTAAAATTTTTATTCCTCTTATCCTTCTTTTTTGCTAATTTTTTTCCTTTTCTTTTTTTTTTGTGGGGGGGGGGGGGTGCTTTGATGGAGTAGGATTTCGTTCTTAGACACTTTAGAGAAGAAGGTAACTACATTCATTTTCATTGATGGGATGGTGGGGTATAGATGTGGAAATTTTCATGTACATTTTCTAACCAGACCGCTGTACCAACGACCAAGTGTCTACCTTCTTTACAATACCAAATAAAAAGGCAGGAAAGTAAAAAGGCCTTCATTCTTTTGATAGGGATGTCTTCTAGCTCAAATTAGCAAAGATCTTCTGCAACATCAAGTGGAGGACCAAGGTAGGGTGCCCCATTAACAACTAAGTCATATGGTAGTTTTAGTTCTCTTTCCTCAAGCAGAGCATAACCTGGGCCAAGAAAAAAAAATACATCAACTGAAATGTGAAGCATGAATTTGGATTGATTTATACATAAAATTTTAAATCCGAAAGGGAAATATAGTAATTGAATTTATCATCAATTACCAGGAAGAGAAGGGATAAGGAAATCGAAGAAGTAAGTGCAAGGCCTTCCAAAGTCATCATTGTATGGCGGGGATAACACATCCAAGATAGCACAAGGAGTCAAGGCAGTGAAAGAATGGATGTTTCCACCACTCCTTGGGAAGAGGACGAATGGTTCACAAGGTGCATTGAAGATGCCATCTATTACAGTGCCTGCTAGTCCATCTGCATCTCTCACCATTTGCAGATTGTTTAGTGATCCAAATGATCAATACATCTTTTTAACTTATTTAAATCAATTAATTTCTCAGAGAAAGGTACAAACAGGATGAGAGTATGATCCAAAGAGATTCGAGTATTGATAAGTTATAAACAGATTAAGAAATTTACTGATAGTTTTGATATCATTAATTCATAGCATGTTATGATACAGTTAACTTCAATCTCAACACCGACAAATGTTAAAGATAAAAGCCTCACTTGTTCTGGGGCTAGAGTTCTCCTCCCACACCCAATCGTAGGCCTTGACATAAACTGAGCCATAAAGAAGTTTGCTTAGAACCGTCATCCCAGTGTGATCATGAAGAGGAAATGTCCTGCCAGCCGGGAAGCAAAAAATTCCTATCTGCACAAAAAATAGACTAACTAGTATAGTCATGGTGAAAACAAATTCATTTGATGATAAATCATGGCAGATATTAATCTATAACTGCATAAATATATGCTCGAATAAGCAAAATAAGACTTGCACGTACCGAGAAATTGTCACATTCATAAATGTGAATGTAAGTTATCTCAGAAACTCCTTGCCCAGGAATCAATCCATTGGTGATCTTCGGGCTTGAACTTGGAGATCCATCCACGTTAAATTCATCTATACCAACATCAACAGCTTCAAATATATCTGCATTTTGGAATGTTCCCTTTAGTCCTCTAATAAGAACAAGAACATAAAAACTGGCAGATTAAGAAAGTCTAGTACTTAAGATGTTTCTCAGCCGTTGAATTTGTTGGAAAGTTGGAAGCTCCTTCTGGGAAAAAATATAATTGCAGGCATCATGTAGCATTTGTATTTTGCTTTTCTCCATTGTATAGTCCATAAGGAAGTTTGTCATTCACAGTTATCATGACTATAAAGACGACCTAAACAAATAACTAACACTAATTAATTAAACCTGGGGGCTGATTTTGACTTTTTAACTCATACAGTGGGCTTCCTTTATTCTCATTGGAAGTTTTCAAGAAGCAAACAATTTGTACACACAACATTTTGCCCTATGGTTATGAATAAAAAATGGGCTGATAAGGACAACATAGAGAAAAAAGGAGCTTTGTGGCATAAGCAAATCATCACAAATTTTCTAGAATGGAGAAAACAAGGAAGTAAAGCCTTAACAATCGGCCCCCATAACCTTCCATTTTCATATGCTTTTGCATGGCAAAAATCATGATAGGCTGCCTGGTAATAATAAAACCATCAACCTGTCTCCGAACGCAGGAAGTTAAAATTAGGCTAGGGATAGGAAGGTTTGGGTTGTAGCCCCATTGCAGTATGTTGCACCAGTGGTTTTGTATATACTCCTTGAACAGATTTTACAGCCTCTACCAGATAGCTCAAATATTGTCCCTCGGGTTTTAAGTTTGAAACCATGGCTTTTTTTCCTGTTTAGTGCAATGGCAACTTCATTTATAAAAGTTAATTTGGAGATAACTTTTGCCTTTCAACCTTAAAATCAATAAAGCTATCCGTTTCCACAATCCCGGTAGCTGATTAGTAAGAGCTTGAAAGTTATAAAAGAAAAAAGAAGAGAAAGAAAAAAAAACATCGCCCTGATTTCTGGATAAACCTTCGGAAAAAGTTCCCTCTGTTTAGACAGTTACACCATCCCTTGTGCCCAAAACTGCAGACCAAAAAAGAGACAAGCTTTTGTCTTAATTTGATAGTCGCTTAGTTTAAGTGAGATTACAAATAACGATAATGATAAAATTAATTATTATAATAGTAAAATTGAGTGTTAAGCGATAAAATTAAAATTAGTGATGAAATATATATTTGAATATAAATATAATAGTGATGGTAAAATTAAGTATAATAATAAAAAATAATTATTAAAGATATTAAATTTAAAATTATATATAATTAAATATAACCCTTTTTATATTTATAAATTTAAAAAATAATTAAATTATTTTTGTATAAATTAATAATTATGTCAAAAATTAATAATATATATGTATTAAATTTAAAAAAATATTTTTATTTAATTATTTAATATTTATTAAATAATTATATAAATGATAAGTTAAATAATTATAATAAATTAATTTAAAAATTATAAATTGATAAAAAAAGCAAAATTAAAATAAAGGAAAAGGTAGGTGGCAGATAGGGTTGGCATCAGGTCAGGTTCGGGGTAGGTTTTGCTCGCCTCGAACCCGATCTGATTTTATGCTTTATTAAACTCGAATCCGATTTTATTCGAAATTTTTTTTGTATTTTCATACCCGAACCTAACCTGATCATGATATTATATAAATCATACTTGATCTGATCCAACTCGAAATTAATAAAATATTATTTTTTTAAATATAAAATATTATTTTTTAAATATAAAAATTTAAAAATATTATTATATAAATATATATAAATAAAAAATAAAAAATAATTTTTTATATAATATCAAATCAAATCTGATCGAATTTTAAGTAAATTTAATCTTGATTATTTCTTAATTTTATTAGATTTAATTTGATTTAAAATTTAAAATTAAAAAAAATAATCTTATTGGATCGAGTCGAAATCGTCCGGCGACGAATTAGATTGCCGTCGCTAGTGGCAGAATACATCTGCTCATAAGCGCATGCATTCTAATAATAGGGACACAAAGAAGAGAAAAAAAAATGAGAGCAGGGATATTAATGAGAAAAATAGGTGCCATGGTAATTAAAATTTTTACTGGAGGAATGAAGTTCCAGTTAGAGTTGGCATCGGGGCGGGGCGGGGCGGCTTTTTGCTTTCCCCGCCTCCGACCCGATGCTTCAATATTTTACCCGATACCCGATCCGTACCCGCTCGGAGGTTGTTATTGAAAAACCCGACCCCGACCCGCTAGAATATTTTTACCCGAATTTAACCCGACCCGACCCGAATTCAATATACTACCTATTTAAATTTACCAAAAATGTAATAAATTATAATCTAAATATATTACAAGCATTAACAAATTTAACATAATCACTCATAAATTCAAACTTAATACATACTATTTTTTTATCTAGTAAAAATCTCATAAATTCTCATCATAAATAATATAATTATAAAATACATAAAATATAGTAAATTTAAACTCACAAATTCTTACCATAGATGATGGAATTATGAAATATATAAAACTTAGTAAACTAAAATTCAAATATTAAACAAGCATAAGTTAATAACTAAATTTAAACATAATACATGATACAAGATGAACATCAAAAGCTTAAATCACCACAATAAAAAGCTAAATTGTTTGAACATCCTTTCATCCAACATGATAAAAATCTTTCAAGACCACAATAAATCATTCCATCATCACTAAGCTCCATATCATCATTCTCCTGTAACCACACTAGTCCTATAAAATAAAACAATAAGATGAATAAATAAATCTCATAAAATAATATATTTAAAAATAATAATATAAAAATGAATTAATTAAAAAAATAATATTATTTACCAAACTAGTTATATTTTCCTCAATCTCACTCTCATCAACATCTTCGTAAAAATACTTTTCTTCTAATAAAATTGACCCTACAAATAAAAAAATAAACTATTAACAAATAATATATAACAACAAAATATAATAACTAACAATATGCTAAAATAAAAAATAAAATTGCATAATATATATTATTGTACCTTCTTCTTCAGCCCATAACCAATTTTGACAACATGTTAAAGCTTCTATAGTTGATGGATGAAGTCTATTACGTTGCGCACTCACTAATCTCCCTCCGGTACTAAAAGTAGACTCTGAAGCAACAGTAGAAACTGGTATGGCATAAATATCTCTAACAATAAGTTGTAAGGTCGAAAATTGAGGTCTAGTTAGTTTCCACCAATTCAATATATCAAAATCTCCTTTTCTTGGTATGACTTCTTCATCCAAATAGCGATCTAACTCTGACTTTACTTTTGATTTTTTCTTTTTTTTCCTTGAAACAAAATCATCATAGTCTCCCAAATTTCCCAATTCAGTAGCATCAACACCATCTAAGAATGAAAGCTTGAACTAGAAGGTCCTTCTCCTTTTTCAAAGCCAATTTCTCCTCATACTCCTTAACCAAATCCCGACATATTTGTACAATCCTTTCATTTCAAATTCAGCATTTTCTCTATAAATCTTTTCAAGTAATACTCCAACAACTCTGTTTTGTATCTTGGATCTAAAATTGTGGCAACACCCATTATACCATGCACATCATTCCAATACTTTTCAAATTTGCCTAACATGCTCACAGCCATACATGAAATAATTCTATTGGTATGCATAATCCATTCATTCAATGCCAATCTGATTTTGCAAACATTAGGAAAATAAAGATTTGCAGTAGCATATTTTGTGCAGAAAAACCTTCAGTGATATCATAAAACAATTTCAACTTCTCACAAATCTCAGTTGCAATGATCCATCATTTTCAGTTGGCAAATATTTGTACAAAGGATCACCATGTAATTGCACACAACGAGGAAAGACATCTTTATAAAACAAAGCTGTTCGAAGCATTAAGTAAGTAGAAGTTCCATCGTGTTTTGACATCAACACACAAACTTTTTTAAAGTTGGAATGCGCAATTGACGCGCTGCCTCTTCAAATTTTCCCATCTCTTTGGTGTAGCACTCAAAAGAGGACACTATCACAATTCTATCAATTCCATCTCCAATCACACTTAATCATCTTTCACAATCAAATGCAAGATGTGTGCACAACAACGCATATGAAAAAAAGTCCACTAAGCAAAAAGTGCATCACAACCAATTCTATCATTAAACACTCAATAACACCATCATTCACACTACAATTATCCACTGTAATAGATGAAAGTTTTCTATCAATATTCCAATCTAAGAAAACATTTCATCAAACTTGAAGTAATGACCTCTTTCGTATGTGGAGTTGCACATATTCAAAACCTAATAAACAATCAATTATTTACACTAATTTAATAATTAATTCAATAATAATAATTACTTAATAAAAAATGAACAATATCAAAATAAGACAATTTAATAAAATATACCTGATGATGCATTTTTGTAAGTTCCATTGATTATCAATGTAATGAGCAGTGACAGCCATGTATCCTCTTTTTTGGTGATCAGCAGTCCACATATCAGTTGTGATAGCAATTCTCCCTTCATTAGCTTCCAACTTAGATATTGTCTTTGCCTTTTCCTCTCTGAAAATCTTTAAAATATCACTCTTTATAGTATTTCGAGAAGGCATAGCAAACAAAGGTTGGAGACTGTAAGAATACTTTCTGAATTGCACATGATCAACCATTGATAAGGGGTATTCATGCATGATTATCATCTTGGCAAGCTCCCTCCTTGTGACATTTTGATCAAAGGAAAAGTTTTTTAATGTTACTTTTCCATCTGCCTTCCTTTGATTTGCTAGCAACACTTGTTGACGAATATCCATTTGAAATCGTTTACTGCACCTCTCTGAATGATCACGCAAATGACTTGTCCCATTCTTAGAAGCACCACCAAGTTTTTTCTTACAATAATTGCATATTGCCTTCCATTCATTATTGATCTTCTCTTTTCTAAAATGTTTCCATACTTCTGATTTTAACTTACTTGAGTTATACCCACTATTATCAACTTCAGCACCCTCGTTAGTCACACTTAATGATAGAGTTGTATTTTCGTCAGATGTTGGAATAGGAGTTTGCTGAATTGGTGACTGATGTGAGGTAGAAGTAGGAGGTGTTGGGGAACACGAATTATCTCCCAAATTAGACATTTCACCTTCATTCATAAAAAAAAAAAATTAGAGTTATTATTTTTGATATTAACAAATAAAGCAACTAAATAAATTAACTGTTACTAAAAGCATAAGGACAACTATTCTTTTTCACGTTTCTCAGCATCCATTTCTCAAGACTTTAATATTGTACTTA